ATAACTCACTAAATTTGTGGAAATTTAAATCAGAATTCGCAAGTCACCAGAAGTCATTGCAAGAACAATTCCCATCTTTAAAATGGTGATATCTTTTTGCATCTCGGACATAAATTTCCCTATTTGTTATAGTGCTGATGAGTTTCAGAACAGTATGACAATCTCCACAAACACGAAGATTTTTCACTATACGTATTATAGTCCCTGGAACAGCCTTTAGAAGCCCATAAGCCACAGCCAACCTCTCACTGTGCCAGAAAAGTTGTCTTTCCTTCTCTTGTTGATCCATGTCATGTAAAACCGAGCTGGTATCAGGAGTATAACCCCTTTTCCTCATCTCTGCATCCAACTCCCTAATTAAACCTATAATCTCATTCTTCATTGGGTGAGAAGTCTCTCCAGCATAAAACACGTGGCTTTCCTTTCCCAAGTCGACGCAGCTATAACCTGGTTCCTTTTTTACTTCCATCACCATCATTAACTTTCTCACTTTTGAAACATTCTCCCATATACCAGCTCCGGCATATACGTTAGATAACAATATATAAGAAGAGGGTTCTTCTGGTTTTATATTTAATAGATGATCAGCAATCCTAACTGCCATCTGGGTGTTACCATGCCGCTTGCAAGCACTAAGCAAAGCAGCCCAAGTGGGTTCATCAGGGCTGACTGGCATAGTTCTAATGAGACTCTCAGCCTCATGAAGGTGCCCTGATCGACTAAAAAGATCTAGCAAACAAGTATAGTGCTGAAGAGAGGGTTCAATTCCATAATCTTCAACCATAGACCTGAACAAAGCCCTGCCCTTGCTAACCAGGCCAGCATGGCTACATGCATGAATCAACCCTACAAAGGTCACCTCATTTGGCTTAACCCCAGCCAAAACCATGCCATCATACAGACCCAGAGCCTCCTCAGCCTGTCCATGTTGGGCACTGCCAACAATTATGGAAGTCCAAGAAACCACATCCTTTCTGCACATGTCCCAGAAGATATACTTTGCAGCAACAAGGTCACTGCATTTGGCATACATATCTACAAGTGCATTGCTTATAAACAAGCAAGACCCATAGCCAAGGGCTATAACCAGACCGTGCATCTGTTTACCCAGCTCCCAAAGAGCTAAATTAGCACAAGCACCAACCACACTGGAAAGAACCAACGGGTCTGTTACACTGACCCCATCATACCGCATTTCAACAAACATGTTCAAAGCCTCAAATCCATTCCCACTCTGGACCAACCCGGAAATCAAAGCAGTCCAAGCAAACAAGTTCCGATACGGCGTTTGACGAAACAGTTGAAAAGCCTCCAACTTTCGCCCACTTCGCGCATACCCAGATATCATGGCAGTCCAAGAAATCGAATTCAACGAAGAAATGGAGTCGAAAACGGCACGCCCGTAATCGGGCAACCCGAATTTCGCGTACATGTCGACCAAAGATGACTTGACAACGTCATCATCGGAGAATGGTGAGAGGAAGAAGCGAACATGCACTTGTTTCCCTTGTTTCACGTGAAGACAACCCAAGTTAGAACAAGCTTTGACGAGTGAGGCGAAGACGAAGTGGTCGGGGTGTAAGCCTGCGGCGAGAAGGGAGCGTGAGATGGAGAGGGCACGGCGAGGGCGGTTGGCGAGATTGCAGGCGGTGAGAAGGGAGGCCCATGCGACTGGGTTTCGGCGGGGCAATGCGTCGAACAGTTGGATTGCGTCTTCTACGAGACCACACTTGCCATATGCATCTAAAAGTGTGTTGGGGATGGGTTCGTGTTGGTTGAGACCAGCTTTTATGATTTGTCCATGAATCTTCTTCGCCAGGCACGGGCTCTGCCTTGCCACGGAGCACAGTTGAGAATGGAGAAACTCAGCGACTGACATTCAAACCTTCATAAACTTTTGCACTGGCCGTACAATAAATACTTTACGACTGAATACTTTCGCACCATTAATTATGGGAAAATGATACTTCAACAACCATTTTTGACAACATTTAGACACGCACACACGTGTCAAAATCTGAATGGTCCAGTTGGAAAAATTAAATGAAAATGGACCACTCAGATTTTGATACGTGTGCGCGTGTCTAAATGTTGTCAAAAATGGTTGTTCAAGTGTCATTTTCCTTAATTATGTTTACTTAAAATTTGAGATTTCTCTGTATTATTTCACTTTCTTCAAACTGTTTGATATGATGAATAAATCACAACTTCATGGAACCTTTTCTTTCTCCACCTTACGCTTCAATCTGTGAACTCAACACCAGTTTGATAAAGGATCTCTTCGTAACAAAATTTATCAACAAAATTCTTTATTCCTCTTATGTTAATGAACATTAATTTTTCACAAACACAAAATTAACTTCTATATAAACAATTTAAAACATTATTCTGTATTAACGTCTGAAATGTTTTTCCTTTATATATGTATGAGAATTTAATTACATGGTGAAGCTCATACAAGTATTATAATATTCAATTTGGCTAGTTAGTTTTATTTAAATATTCCTTAGAAGACTAAAATAAATTTACTGGTAAGAAAAATAGTAGTAATTGAAGAATTATTTATTATTTGACTCTATAGGTTTAGGGTTTTTATTTAAAATTATTTTTATAGAAAATATTTTTTTCTCAGCTTATAGTTTATGACGTAACTTATTTAAATGTATCTTTAAACAGAACCTATTTTTTATACTAATAATTTTACTATTTAAATTATATTTTTAGAATTTTATTTAAATTTATATTTTAAAAAATAAGATTGTTCACGACAATTGAAGGCTTGTTGCTACTACCATCATGGTGTGAACTGAAGGGAAGAAAAAACACATGTATATATGGAAGCTTATATGTTGCAATTTGTCTGCAATCTTAATCTTATCTGCACACTGAATTAAAGTGATTTTATTTTGAAAAGAATTGCAATTTTACAAATGAATTTTTCTTATTTGAAATTGGAATTTGAAAACTGTGAATGTTAACCTCTGACTTCAAATGAAATGCATGAAACAATTGATGACATAAACACATTATCTATTATGTTAACATACAATTCTACATCGTACTATTCTTGAATAGTTTTACATGATGATGTAGGCATATATTTGAATAATATTATAAGTAATAGATGAAAATGAATATAATTGATAAAAGTCAAGTATGCTTTAATTGTATTTATTAATTATTAAATTAATGATATTTTGGTAATTCATAATAATATTTAATTAATTTTACTTTTTTGTCACATTAATTAATTTTGTTATAAAATTTTCACAATTATTTCCTATTTTCTTTTAATTCAATTAAATTCATTTGTCTCTTAATTTTACATTCATTTCTTTCTTTTTCTACTTTCTTTTCAATCCAAACCATTCTTTACTAATAATTAAATAATATATTTGCCGTCGATGGAATAAATTTAACTTTTAAACATTGAAAGACAGATATTATGGAAAACGTAATCGCACACTTAGATAGAAACCTATAAAGATTACAAGAAAATTTGAGTTTAAAATTATAAGAAATCAAATATCTATTTAAAAATTAAAAGGGATGTAAATATTACTTTATTAAAAATAAAATATATATATGGGATATTTATTTATAAAAGACTGGTTTGTAAGTCTGATTTAAATATTCAGGAAAATAAATATATATTTTTTAACTATCATACGAAGAAAGAGAAATGAACTAAACTCATTTTAAATCGTAAATATTAAAGTCAAGCATGGAATCATCTGGAACTTAAAAAATAATATTTAAAAATTCTACCTTTTAGGTGTTCTTGTCAAACTTTGATACTCTTTGCTAATTTCTATGATTTGGAAAACATACGACAAGATAACACAGCTCAACTCAGCCACACATGTTCTCTCGATTTCATCAAAATCTGACTTTAATGTTTTTTTTTACCGTTTGTAGCACTATAAGACATCTCAAACCTTAGCATCACGTTCTTCCTCTATCATTTTATTTCCCATCATAAGAAGAGATAACATTAAATATTTATCTCTTAAATACACTTTCTTAATTGATAAAATGATACAATACTATGATATGCACATGAATATCTTATAATAAATGTAGCATAAATAAAACTAAAAAGGTAAGTCAAGGAAAAGTAGTGTTTTATTTGCAAAATTACAAATGGTACTAAGGAATGTTTGGATGTTTCATAAATAAATAATGTAAGTATACAAGTTTCAATATTTTATAATTTAGTTTAGCTCATAATTCATTACCGTATTAGTAACAAATATAAGTTAAAAAAACGATTTATAATTTACAAAATCTGAAAAAATAGATAGAATGTAACTATAGTAATTAATTTTAGATATTTCACTATGACTTTGTCGATGAAAGGTAATTCAGTATTTTTTTTTTAAGTTTATTTGTTTTTATTGAATACGTAGAGGTTTAATTGAATTTATGTAAATAATTCTGTAGTTGACTTCAATTATTTAAAAGAAAATTGTATATATAAATTATAATATTGTTTAATGACAGGCTTCCGTTATTATTTTTTTAATGATTCTTGTCTATTGATTTCACAGGTGAGCAGTTTTTGAAAAAAATCTTCTTATTATATTATTCTATCCTAGTATTTTAATTCTAAAAGTTATATTTTAATATTTTAAAAACATTAATAACAATCTTTTAATATTATTTATATGTTATTTTGTGATTGATCTATTTATAATTATTGTTATTAATTGTAGAATAATTTTAAACCAATCAAATAATAACGAAAATAATGTTAAAATATTATAAAAAGATATTTTCAAATATTGAAAGATTGAGGAGGGCCCACAGGATGCAGGATATGGAATGCATTGAGATGTGTGTGATTCATCCCACCTGGACATGATTTACACAATACGTACAAAGACCAGTTTGATGACTCAGTACATACGAAACACCAACGTAATACAATACAAAACAACATTGTCTGTGCAGTGTTGTGTTCTGGCTCGGAACTGCAATTTTTCAGTCCTATCTTATTTGCACCACGTGAATCCCCAATTCCCCAATTTCCCTTTCCCTTTATTTATGCCATCATCATCTCTCTCACGAGAAGCCTAACCAAGAGAAGAGAAAACAAAAAAGAGAGAAAGAAAGATGAGTAGTAACGGCCATGGATGCTGCAAAACAGGGCCAGGCTACGCTTCACCGCTGGAAGCCATGTCTGGTCCAAGAGAGTCTCTCATTTATGTCACCTCTGTCTATTCAGGTACCTAACTCATCTTCTTCTGGAAACTTCTCTATATTCAAAGCTCTCAAACTTGCTGCTTTTTATGTTCACTCACTCATCATGGATTCAATACACTATATCATTCAGGAACGGGAATTGAGAAGCCTGACTATTTGGCCACAGTGGACGTAGATCCAAACTCTCCCACTTATTCCAAAGTCATCCATAGGCTACCTGTTCCTCATTTGGGTGATGAATTGCATCACACTGGCTGGAATTCGTGCAGCTCTTGCCATGGAGATCCCTCGGCTCAGCGACGATTTCTCATCGTGCCTGGGCTCGTGTAAGACCCTCATCCGTACATGCATGGAGAAAAACAATCCTACTTTACCGTGTTTGTACTTTTGCTGCACGATGGTGTTTTTCAATTTCAAGTATATCCCACGCTTTTGTTTCTGTTTTTCTTTTTTGGCTTTTTCCCAAGAATTCAACTGAGAATACTTTGGTATGTCATCCTGTAACAGAAATTCATGAAAGCGTTATGGAAACCGTGGTTCTGTGAAAAAAATAAAAAATTATGCCATAATTAGAGCATCGTCTTCGTGGTGTTTTTTTTTCTTTTTTGTCCTCTTCCCTTTTTCCTAACTCAGATATGTTTTGCTCACTTATTGAATTCGAGGAACTCTTTCGAAACATATAAAATTTATTTCGTTTCCTCTATTTTTAAATTACCTCATTAAGTCTACTTTTTGTCATGTTTCAGATCGGGTCGCGTATATGTTATTGATGTGAAAACAAATCCAAAGGCTCCATCTTTGCACAAAGTTGTTGATCCTGCAGATATCATTGAGAAGACTGGATTAGCTTATCCACACACCTCTCACTGCCTTGCTTCTGGTGAAATTATGATCTCATGTCTTGGAGATAAGGATGGAAATGCTGAAGGCAATGGGTTTCTTATTCTTGATTCAGAGTTTAACGTGAAAGGAAGGTACTATTTTGTAGATATTTGATTGAGAAATGTGAGAATGCTTTTTGGAGTGTTGAAATTTTCCGGAGTGTACCTAACAATATTCACCCCTGCATGACTCTGTTAGATCCTTTAGTTTTAAATGCCTATCTTGGATTTAGGTAACATGCATGCAGATGAAATGGTGTCAATCAATCATGCATTGAAATAAAGTTTAAGGTTGAGAAGACGGATTTAGTGAACATGTTTACATAGAATTGTTCAATTACATAATTGCTTGTGTATTAAACAGTAGATGGGTTACATCTTTGAAACTTCTGCTGTATCCTGCTTTACATTGCTTAGGTGGGAGAAACCAGGGCACAGTCCACAATATGGATATGACTTTTGGTACCAACCACGACACAACACTATGATAAGCACATCATGGGGTGCTCCCAGAGCTTTCACGAAAGGTTTTAACTTAGAGCATCTCTCTGAAGGATTATATGGCAGGCATCTCCATGTATATGACTGGCCTGGGGGCGAACTGAGACAAACACTGGACCTTGGTGATTCAGGGCTTCTACCCTTGGAGGCAAGTTGTTAGTATAATCAGGATAGATGTTCGGGATGCATTTATTGGAACTTTGTGTATCTGAACCCTGTTTACTACCTGTTTGATTTAACTATGACTGCACTTTCCTCTTACTTTGAAGTTGTAATTGTGAGCCAATTTGCAAAATTGACATATTTTATAATTAATGTACCTTAAATGCAGATAAGGTTCTTGCATGATCCTGCTAAAGATACAGGTTTTGTTGGGAGTGCATTGACAAGTAACATGATACGATTCTTCAAGAACCAAGATGGATCATGGAGCCATGAGGTATGTCAAGATAGTATCTTTTCTCCTCTGTCNTAAAAGACTGGTTTGTAAGTCTGATTTAAATATTCAGGAAAATAAATATATATTTTTTAACTATCATACGAAGAAAGAGAAATGAACTAAACTCATTTTAAATCGTAAATATTAAAGTCAAGCATGGAATCATCTGGAACTTAAAAAATAATATTTAAAAATTCTACCTTTTAGGTGTTCTTGTCAAACTTTGATACTCTTTGCTAATTTCTATGATTTGGAAAACATACGACAAGATAACACAGCTCAACTCAGCCACACATGTTCTCTCGATTTCATCAAAATCTGACTTTAATGTTTTTTTTTACCGTTTGTAGCACTATAAGACATCTCAAACCTTAGCATCACGTTCTTCCTCTATCATTTTATTTCCCATCATAAGAAGAGATAACATTAAATATTTATCTCTTAAATACACTTTCTTAATTGATAAAATGATACAATACTATGATATGCACATGAATATCTTATAATAAATGTAGCATAAATAAAACTAAAAAGGTAAGTCAAGGAAAAGTAGTGTTTTATTTGCAAAATTACAAATGGTACTAAGGAATGTTTGGATGTTTCATAAATAAATAATGTAAGTATACAAGTTTCAATATTTTATAATTTAGTTTAGCTCATAATTCATTACCGTATTAGTAACAAATATAAGTTAAAAAAACGATTTATAATTTACAAAATCTGAAAAAATAGATAGAATGTAACTATAGTAATTAATTTTAGATATTTCACTATGACTTTGTCGATGAAAGGTAATTCAGTATTTTTTTTTTAAGTTTATTTGTTTTTATTGAATACGTAGAGGTTTAATTGAATTTATGTAAATAATTCTGTAGTTGACTTCAATTATTTAAAAGAAAATTGTATATATAAATTATAATATTGTTTAATGACAGGCTTCCGTTATTATTTTTTTAATGATTCTTGTCTATTGATTTCACAGGTGAGCAGTTTTTGAAAAAAATCTTCTTATTATATTATTCTATCCTAGTATTTTAATTCTAAAAGTTATATTTTAATATTTTAAAAACATTAATAACAATCTTTTAATATTATTTATATGTTATTTTGTGATTGATCTATTTATAATTATTGTTATTAATTGTAGAATAATTTTAAACCAATCAAATAATAACGAAAATAATGTTAAAATATTATAAAAAGATATTTTCAAATATTGAAAGATTGAGGAGGGCCCACAGGATGCAGGATATGGAATGCATTGAGATGTGTGTGATTCATCCCACCTGGACATGATTTACACAATACGTACAAAGACCAGTTTGATGACTCAGTACATACGAAACACCAACGTAATACAATACAAAACAACATTGTCTGTGCAGTGTTGTGTTCTGGCTCGGAACTGCAATTTTTCAGTCCTATCTTATTTGCACCACGTGAATCCCCAATTCCCCAATTTCCCTTTCCCTTTATTTATGCCATCATCATCTCTCTCACGAGAAGCCTAACCAAGAGAAGAGAAAACAAAAAAGAGAGAAAGAAAGATGAGTAGTAACGGCCATGGATGCTGCAAAACAGGGCCAGGCTACGCTTCACCGCTGGAAGCCATGTCTGGTCCAAGAGAGTCTCTCATTTATGTCACCTCTGTCTATTCAGGTACCTAACTCATCTTCTTCTGGAAACTTCTCTATATTCAAAGCTCTCAAACTTGCTGCTTTTTATGTTCACTCACTCATCATGGATTCAATACACTATATCATTCAGGAACGGGAATTGAGAAGCCTGACTATTTGGCCACAGTGGACGTAGATCCAAACTCTCCCACTTATTCCAAAGTCATCCATAGGCTACCTGTTCCTCATTTGGGTGATGAATTGCATCACACTGGCTGGAATTCGTGCAGCTCTTGCCATGGAGATCCCTCGGCTCAGCGACGATTTCTCATCGTGCCTGGGCTCGTGTAAGACCCTCATCCGTACATGCATGGAGAAAAACAATCCTACTTTACCGTGTTTGTACTTTTGCTGCACGATGGTGTTTTTCAATTTCAAGTATATCCCACGCTTTTGTTTCTGTTTTTCTTTTTTGGCTTTTTCCCAAGAATTCAACTGAGAATACTTTGGTATGTCATCCTGTAACAGAAATTCATGAAAGCGTTATGGAAACCGTGGTTCTGTGAAAAAAATAAAAAATTATGCCATAATTAGAGCATCGTCTTCGTGGTGTTTTTTTTTCTTTTTTGTCCTCTTCCCTTTTTCCTAACTCAGATATGTTTTGCTCACTTATTGAATTCGAGGAACTCTTTCGAAACATATAAAATTTATTTCGTTTCCTCTATTTTTAAATTACCTCATTAAGTCTACTTTTTGTCATGTTTCAGATCGGGTCGCGTATATGTTATTGATGTGAAAACAAATCCAAAGGCTCCATCTTTGCACAAAGTTGTTGATCCTGCAGATATCATTGAGAAGACTGGATTAGCTTATCCACACACCTCTCACTGCCTTGCTTCTGGTGAAATTATGATCTCATGTCTTGGAGATAAGGATGGAAATGCTGAAGGCAATGGGTTTCTTATTCTTGATTCAGAGTTTAACGTGAAAGGAAGGTACTATTTTGTAGATATTTGATTGAGAAATGTGAGAATGCTTTTTGGAGTGTTGAAATTTTCCGGAGTGTACCTAACAATATTCACCCCTGCATGACTCTGTTAGATCCTTTAGTTTTAAATGCCTATCTTGGATTTAGGTAACATGCATGCAGATGAAATGGTGTCAATCAATCATGCATTGAAATAAAGTTTAAGGTTGAGAAGACGGATTTAGTGTACATGTTTACATAGAATTGTTCAATTACATAATTGCTTGTGTATTAAACAGTAGATGGGTTACATCTTTGAAACTTCTGCTGTATCCTGCTTTACATTGCTTAGGTGGGAGAAACCTGGGCACAGTCCACAATATGGATATGACTTTTGGTACCAACCACGACACAACACTATGATAAGCACATCATGGGGTGCTCCCAGAGCTTTCACGAAAGGTTTTAACTTAGAGCATCTCTCTGAAGGATTATATGGCAGGCATCTCCATGTATATGACTGGCCTGGGGGCGAACTGAGACAAACACTGGACCTTGGTGATTCAGGGCTTCTACCCTTGGAGGCAAGTTGTTAGTATAATCAGTATAGATGTTCGGGATGCATTTATTGGAACTTTGTGTATCTGAACCCTGTTTACTACCTGTTTGATTTAACTATGACTGCACTTTCCTCTTACTTTGAAGTTGTAATTGTGAGCCAATTTGCAAAATTGACATATTTTATAATTAATGTACCTTAAATGCAGATAAGGTTCTTGCATGATCCTGCTAAAGATACAGGTTTTGTTGGGAGTGCATTGACAAGTAACATGATACGATTCTTCAAGAACCAAGATGGATCATGGAGCCATGAGGTATGTCAAGATAGTATCTTTTCTCCTCTGTCAGTACGTGTACTCAAAACCAATATATCAATATCCTCAATACTTACAGACTAAGCTTACTTTGCAGGTCTCCATATCAGTGAAACCACTGAAAGTGCAAAACTGGATTCTTCCTGAAATGCCTGGGCTTATAACTGATTTTCTGATTTCTCTTGATGACCGGTTTCTGTACTTTGTAAACTGGCTTCACGGGGATATAAGGCAATATAACATTGAGGACGTTAAAAATCCTAAACTGACTGGACAAGTATGGGTTGGTGGACTTATCCAGAAAGGAAGCCCTATTGTAGCTGTAACAGATGATGGAGAAACTTGGCAAGCCGAGGTTCCAGAGATTCAGGTAATTGCAATCTTGCCCTGTTGAAACTTTTCAAGTACAAAGGAATTCGTCAAAATAACATTCAAAGTTTTGCTGAGTATAGTGAAATATTACTTTTAATAATAATATTTAGTATTCAATGACTTTAAAAAACGAAACTGTTCTAGATATGCTTAAAACTTATTTGTCTTGTTACTGCTAAGCAAGAGAGCACAAATATAATAATATATGATGCATGGACTTATTCTTGGAAATTCAAGGGTAGCTTGTTATCTGTCCATATTAACAGTAAGACATTGGTTTTCAGGGGAAAAAGTTGAGAGCGGGCCCTCAGATGATTCAATTGAGTTTAGATGGGAAGCGGCTGTATGCAACAAACTCACTATTTAGTACATGGGACAAACAATTTTATCCAGATCTTGTCCAGCAGGGCTCCCACATAATACAGATTGATGTTGATACTGAGAAAGGTGGTCTGAAAATCAACCCCAACTTCTTCGTCGACTTTGGAACTGAGCCTCATGGTCCTTCTCTTGCCCATGAGATGAGATATCCTGGTGGTGACTGTACTTCAGATATATGGATTTAAGCGCACATCTCATTATTTCCCTTTGATAAACTTATCTATAATATGTTTGCAATGGGTTATTTTGCTATAAATAATGATATTGTCAAGACAGTACGCAATTTCACAAATGGGTTATGCTCATCTAAAAACCCTCTTTCTTTGTCTGTCTACTGGTTTTTCTACCTTTGTGGTTACCACCAACTTACAATAAGGGTGTGAACAAATTGGTCCATCCCCCATTTAACCAAAGATAAAATGAACCATGGAAAGACAAAAAAAAAAAAAAAAAGAAATTAAAGCATATTGACGTGTAGAAATGACAGAAGTGATTGATTGTCAACCTCGGTGACAAAATGTGTTCTGGATTTGACTATCACTTTTTAGATTAATGACCAGGCTCTGAATTCAACAAATTTATCTGGTTCTGTTCTATCCACAGAACAACAAAGTGCACATAAAAAATAATTTAGTATATAGTAATTTTGTAAAATAGTTCGTACGCGATAACGAATTAAGCATGCCCCGATTTCTACCGTTCCTGCGATGAATAACTTGCATAACTGATATTTAACCACATTATTTATCCAGTTATAATTTTAGGACAATTCAGTAGCGCTATATTATGTTTTCTTTCTTCTTTCTGTGTCAACTACGTTAAATTTTAAGTGTTGCATAACATAATTTTAGGCAAGTTACAAGTATTTTGATTATCCTCGAACATGTATAAATTGTTGTTTTCGCATATGCATTAGTTATTGATGTGTTAGAATTTTGATGTCCCATCTGCATGTGCCACTTCTATATGTATTAAAGAAATGAAGAGTGGAAGAAATCGGAAAAGCACTATATAAAAATTAATTTTAGTACAGTCAATTTCCACTCAGACGGAGCAATTTTATAGTCGCCGATGACAGACCTTTCAAACTCGTGTCCATAATTTGGTAAGCGATAAATACAATAACGTACACGTAATCAAATGATAAGATTCCAATGAACTTTTGAATAATTAAAATATAAAAGTTTTACGAAATTAACCTCATTCTTATTTTCTTTTCCTAATGTCTATAAGATTATTTCTTGGTTTCTTTTTTTGGTAATATAAAATTATTTTCCCATGTTTAAAAAATTGCAATGTTCACCTATTTACTACATGTGAAAAAATAAGATCAAGTCAATAAGTATGAGAAAGATTGTATTTTAAATGGTGTAAACATATTTTTGAGAACATAAATGCTTTTATTTTATTTTAGTTTTTGATAAATTTGACCAATGTCAACCTTACATGAGGAAATTGAGTCAAAATCAAAAGGCCTCGAGATTAAAGGCCGAACATGAAAGAAGATTTGAGATTATGAGATAGCAACTAAATAATAAAAACATCAATGTCATAAACATTACAAAATAATGAACGATATCATTGGTTGCGTAAACAATAATTATATAAGATCTTATGGGTTGTTGGATTAATATATAATCTTTCTGTTCTTTACCATAATTATAGGAGCTTTGCAATTTAAAATTATGAGACAGATTTGCTTCTGCTTCCCTCATGTTATGATCATTCTTTGATTCCTAAATATCTGATAAGGGGTTATCTCCAGCAATGTGCATCTGATAAAAGTAAATACAACAAAAACAAAAACCTTATCCCTCTAGGAATCAAAATAAATACAAATGGAAACATTATATATATTTGCATCACCTAATAGAAAATACAATAGACCAAGAAAAACCAAGCCCTGTAAAGGCAGAAAGGTATAGCATGGGACGATAAGATTCTCACCTGACCACACGATTTCTACAACAACTTCCCCACTAGCCCCTTTTCCATGCATGGGAAATCATGACCAGATAAACCGGGGACAGTTTGAATGGTGAAGGAAGAAAATACTATTACTACTTGAATGCAAGCTTCCATACTTCACGCACATTAGATGAACCGTCTGTGATTTCAGCAACCAGACTACTGCTCAAGACACCTGCACAAATAAAAGAAAATTGTGACATCATGAGACCAGCAGTTTCCGGAAACAGGGAAATTATGACATCAAGGGACCAGCACAGTGACAGCTAAACTGGTATACAATCTTATAAGGATGAAATTATATTCTCCATAGTTAACATTGCATAACGTGACCAATCTTCTGATGACTCCCATCCGGCATGGAACACATTGCTCCATGATTAAGATTCAAGCTAACAGGTCGTATAGGAGAGAACCAACAAGTTAAAAGAATCAATATGTAGATCATTACTATAAACTGTTTGCATATCAAGGATATGCAACTGCAAAGGCCATAACATACAAAGAATCAGAAATTCAGAATAATAATCCAGCGTGAATATAATTCCATGTCTGCACTAGCTTACCATCCTTTTCTACCAGGGACAGAAATCGCCGAGATCCACCACCTACTCCAAAATAATACTTCTTTGCTGCCATGTATACAACTCCATCAGGATGTTGCAAGCACTGTGTATCAAAAACTTCCATGTATAAGGAAAACAATATTTAATAATTAAAAACATTACATTGAAACACTTAGATAAATGTAATCAAATTTTCAATGCAATGACTCCACATAGAAATATAATGTTCCTCTCGTCGTCATTGAACAAAACAGTACCTTTTTAATAAGATTATAAAGAGTTTGGAGACTGCTGACCGAGTAAACTGTCTCAGCCATCAGAATAAAGTCATAACCACCACCATAATTATCATCCGTACTAACATGAGGGAGCAGTTTATCAATTCCACTCCAGTCACCAGCAAAAAAGCGGTTGTCACAAATTGTCGGGTTGGATGGTGATGGTTGAGATTCTCCAGAAATATTTGCATTTAAATTAGGAATGGTGAGGCAACGTAGGACCTCAGCATTGAAGTCTTGAAAATGTACAGCAGCAGCCCCCTAAAGCAACCATAATAAGCACATTATTATATTTTTCAAAAGTTAAGGATGCTAAAGCAAAGCCAAAATGAACTAGTTTCACCTCGAGCAATGCAAAGATTCCAGGTAATCCATGGCCGCATCCTACCTGAAAATAAAATATTGAATGCTGGGAACTGATATAGAGTGACAACTTTTCTACTAAGATTCATACACATTACACGTATCTTCCTAATATAAACTGGAAAAAAACCTCTAAAGCGAGTTTGTAGAATCTCTATTATGAGAAAGTAAACGGAGCATCCAGCCTAATATTCCTTAGAGGGGGGTTATGATCATGATGCACTTTAAATTAAAATTAAGAAACGATACATTCTTACTTGCTAACTCTATAGACAAGCTCGTCTTAGAGAAGTACAACATATCTTAGCCACATACTCAAATTACACAAAAATTCAAAATGATTGAAACAAGTCTTGCTAAAATCCCAGAAATGCTCAAGATTTGGGGACTAAAACCAATGTACTAGGAAGGAGGATAAAAATAAGAATCAAAATTCATACTCTATCTTTGTAATTAACTGCATGAGTGGGTCTCAAATTCATTATTTCCATACAATTAAACCACGGAAAAAAATAAGTAACTACCTATATTTCCAAAAAGATCTTATACTTCTATGGAATTGAATTTTCCTTAAAGTGCAAGAAACAAAAAAAAAAGTACAGTGGAAAGAATCCAATAAATTGGCATGCTATCCTTAAATATCAACCGTCCATGATGTTTTTAAACAGGATGCGGAAGAACATGATAACACACTGGGAACGCAACCTTAAGACAGCCGCTGAGCAATTTTCAAGTGCCTTATGGCAGTCACTACCCCCGGGATATTCGTGCATATAAATTTGAAAGACTTTAACAAATACAATCAATGATATTAGAGAAATTATTCAAAGATGATTGTTCTTTTTTCAATAATAATTTGATCTTCTAAAATTGAACCCCTCGATAAATGTCATTTTCTTCAATATACTATCAGACAAAAGCAAAACCGAAAATAAATATCTCTTCAGTAAATGCAAGACTGTAATATGAAGCAGGTAACCTTAAGAAAACTCGCAGATATCTTTATATTATTGTCCAATTTAAGTGCAGTGCAGTGGTATCGGAAAGTGTATCTTTCTATGTGAACAATTACGCCTGGGACTCCAGTCTAAAAGCTATATCAACAATTGCATACATTCGGCAAAAAAAAAAAAAAAAGAAATTAAAGCATATTGACGTGTAGAAATGACAGAAGTGATTGATTGTCAACCTCGGTGACAAAATGTGTTCTGGATTTGACTATCACTTTTTAGATTAATGACCAGGCTCTGAATTCAACAAATTTATCTGGTTCTGTTCTATCCACAGAACAACAAAGTGCACATAAAAAATAATTTAGTATATAGTAATTTTGTAAAATAGTTCGTACGCGATAACGAATTAAGCATGCCCCGATTTCTACCGTTCCTGCGATGAATAACTTGCATAACTGATATTTAACCACATTATTTATCCAGTTATAATTTTAGGACAATTCAGTAGCGCTATATTATGTTTTCTTTCTTCTTTCTGTGTCAACTACGTTAAATTTTAAGTGTTGCATAACATAATTTTAGGCAAGTTACAAGTATTTTGATTATCCTCGAACATGTATAAATTGTTGTTTTCGCATATGCATTAGTTATTGATGTGTTAGAATTTTGATGTCCCATCTGCATGTGCCACTTCTATATGTATTAAAGAAATGAAGAGTGGAAGAAATCGGAAAAGCACTATATAAAAATTAATTTTAGTACAGTCAATTTCCACTCAGACGGAGCAATTTTATAGTCGCCGATGACAGACCTTTCAAACTCGTGTCCATAATTTGGTAAGCGATAAATACAATAACGTACACGTAATCAAATGATAAGATTCCAATGAACTTTTGAATAATTAAAATATAAAAGTTTTACGAAATTAACCTCATTCTTATTTTCTTTTCCTAATGTCTATAAGATTATTTCTTGGTTTCTTTTTTTGGTAATATAAAATTATTTTCCCATGTTTAAAAAATTGCAATGTTCACCTATTTACTACATGTGAAAAAATAAGATCAAGTCAATAAGTATGAGAAAGATTGTATTTTAAATGGTGTAAACATATTTTTGAGAACATAAATGCTTTTATTTTATTTTAGTTTTTGATAAATTTGACCAATGTCAACCTTACAAGAGGAAATTGAGTCAAAATCAAAAGGCCTCGAGATTAAAGGCCGAACATGAAAGAAGATTTGAGATTATGAGATAGCAACTAAATAATAAAAACATCAATGTCATAAACATTACAAAATAATGAACGATATCATTGGTTGCGTAAACAATAATTATATAAGATCTTATGGGTTGTTGGATTAATATATAATCTTTCTGTTCTTTACCATAATTATAGGAGCTTTGCAATTTAAAATTATGAGACAGATTTGCTTCTGCTTCCCTCATGTTATGATCATTCTTTGATTCCTAAATATCTGATAAGGGGTTATCTCCAGCAATGTGCATCTGATAAAAGTAAATACAACAAAAACAAAAACCTTATCCCTCTAGGAATCAAAATAAATACAAATGGAAACATTATATATATTTGCATCACCTAATAGAAAATACAATAGACCAAGAAAAACCAAGCCCTGTAAAGGCAGAAAGGTATAGCATGGGACGATAAGATTCTCACCTGACCACACGATTTCTACAACAACTTCCCCACTAGCCCCTTTTCCATGCATGGGAAATCATGACCAGATAAACCGGGGACAGTTTGAATGGTGAAGGAAGAAAATACTATTACTACTTGAATGCAAGCTTCCATACTTCACGCACATTAGATGAACCGTCTGTGATTTCAGCAACCAGACTACTGCTCAAGACACCTGCACAAATAAAAGAAAATTGTGACATCATGAGACCAGCAGTTTCCGGAAACAGGGAAATTATGACATCAAGGGACCAGCACAGTGACAGCTAAACTGGTATACAATCTTATAAGGATGAAATTATATTCTCCATAGTTAACATTGCATAACGTGACCAATCTTCTGATGACTCCCATCCGGCATGGAACACATTGCTCCATGATTAAGATTCAAGCTAACAGGTCGTATAGGAGAGAACCAACAAGTTAAAAGAATCAATATGTAGATCATTACTATAAACTGTTTGCATATCAAGGATATGCAACTGCAAAGGCCATAACATACAAAGAATCAGAAATTCAGAATAATAATCCAGCGTGAATATAATTCCATGTCTGCACTAGCTTACCATCCTTTTCTACCAGGGACAGAAATCGCCGAGATCCACCACCTACTCCAAAATAATACTTCTTTGCTGCCATGTATACAACTCCATCAGGATGTTGCAAGCACTGTGTATCAAAAACTTCCATGTATAAGGAAAACAATATTTAATAATTAAAAACATTACATTGAAACACTTAGATAAATGTAATCAAATTTTCAATGCAATGACTCCACATAGAAATATAATGTTCCTCTCGTCGTCATTGAACAAAACAGTACCTTTTTAATAAGATTATAAAGAGTTTGGAGACTGCTGACCGAGTAAACTGTCTCAGCCATCAGAATAAAGTCATAACCACCACCATAATTATCATCCGTACTAACATGAGGGAGCAGTTTATCAATTCCACTCCAGTCACCAGCAAAAAAGCGGTTGTCACAAATTGTCGGGTTGGATGGTGATGGTTGAGATTCTCCAGAAATATTTGCATTTAAATTAGGAATGGTGAGGCAACGTAGGACCTCAGCATTGAAGTCTTGAAAATGTACAGCAGCAGCCCCCTAAAGCAACCATAATAAGCACATTATTATATTTTTCAAAAGTTAAGGATGCTAAAGCAAAGCCAAAATGAACTAGTTTCACCTCGAGCAATGCAAAGATTCCAGGTAATCCATGGCCGCATCCTACCTGAAAATAAAATATTGAATGCTGGGAACTGATATAGAGTGACAACTTTTCTACTAAGATTCATACACATTACACGTATCTTCCTAATATAAACTGGAAAAAAACCTCTAAAGCGAGTTTGTAGAATCTCTATTATGAGAAAGTAAACGGAGCATCCAGCCTAATATTCCTTAGAGGGGGGTTATGATCATGATGCACTTTAAATTAAAATTAAGAAACGATACATTCTTACTTGCTAACTCTATAGACAAGCTCGTCTTAGAGAAGTACAACATATCTTAGCCACATACTCAAATTACACAAAAATTCAAAATGATTGAAACAAGTCTTGCTAAAATCCCAGAAATGCTCAAGATTTGGGGACTAAAACCAATGTACTAGGAAGGAGGATAAAAATAAGAATCAAAATTCATACTCTATCTTTGTAATTAACTGCATGAGTGGGTCTCAAATTCATTATTTCCATACAATTAAACCACGGAAAAAAATAAGTAACTACCTATATTTCCAAAAAGATCTTATACTTCTATGGAATTGAATTTTCCTTAAAGTGCAAGAAACAAAAAAAAAAGTACAGTGGAAAGAATCCAATAAATTGGCATGCTATCCTTAAATATCAACCGTCCATGATGTTTTTAAACAGGATGCGGAAGAACATGATAACACACTGGGAACGCAACCTTAAGACAGCCGCTGAGCAATTTTCAAGTGCCTTATGGCAGTCACTTCCCCCGGGATATTCGTGCATATAAATTTGAAAGACTTTAACAAATACAATCAATGATATTAGAGAAATTATTCAAAGATGATTGTTCTTTTTTCAATAATAATTTGATCTTCTAAAATTGAACCCCTCGATAAATGTCATTTTCTTCAATATACTATCAGACAAAAGCAAAACCGAAAATAAATATCTCTTCAGTAAATGCAAGACTGTAATATGAAGCAGGTAACCTTAAGAAAACTCGCAGATATCTTTATATTATTGTCCAATTTAAGTGCAGTGCAGTGGTATCGGAAAGTGTATCTTTCTATGTGAACAATTACGCCTGGGACTCCAGTCTAAAAGCTATATCAACAATTGCATACATTCGGCGTGCAAGTTCTAAATTCTATCTTATATCTAGTATAAAAACTTAAATATGTTTTTAACACACCTAAGTTTCATCCTCATACCCTAATATACAAACTGCATATATCCATACTAGCTAATGACTACAGTGCTTCCCTGTATGCTTTCAGAATTTCAACTCAAAACTAAACAGACGGCCACTTATCATACAGAGAAACACAACCAGCTCGAAAAAGAGAAAGCCACCTCCAATACTCGCTTCCCGCCAAATGATGTAAGGCCAGTTCTGATATCTGAACGAAGGGCCTTAATTAAATCAAGTGAACCTTCCCACAGCTTCAGTCCTCCTAACCAAAAGGGAACCAAGAATTAAACTGATTCAGTCATCGGAAAGACGGAAACGAACGAATGAACAGAAATGCAAGGATCGAAATGGCACCACCTTCATATTTCCCGGGAACTAAATCGGAGTTGGACAAGCCAAAAACTTGTTGGGTACTCACGCGCCCCTGAGAATCGTCCATAAAATAACATAAACAATAACACTAAATTATAATCTCCCCACAAATATTTTGAAGACGAAGATAAAGAAAGAAACATCACCTTTAACAAAGTAACTTCATCCAAATTAACCAAGTCCCAGTTGTTTATGGCATATGAAGGAACCTAATTTCGAGGGAAAAGAAGCAAGATTAAAAACGACATCGTTTCAAAGAATGACGAAGGGAGAAGAAAGAATACCTCAGAAGCGAGGACTTCAACGCAAGGAGGAGGAGGTATGACAGGAGATTGTTGAGCATCATCATCGAAGATTCCGAAGCCAGAAGTAGAGGAAGAGAATAACTGAAACGTTTCCATACTTGTTTTCTCAGCACTGCCCTGTTTTAGTGCCGCAACAAAACCTTAAAACGAACACTGTTTTTTTTTTCCCTCTCTCTAAATTTGTCGTTTTCTTCTGGGCTCTATGTATTCAAAGCACTGAGTTGGGCTGGGCTGGGCTGATAGACGTTGAGCCCACTCTTACGTGAATAGATACTATTTGAACCCCCTTATTAAAACACCCCACTTATCCTGAAACTTGCTTTTTAATGAAAAGACAAAGTCATAGCAAAATTTTGGTTTATCTAATCATTATGAGAGAATTTGAGGACTTGTCATTTAAATAATAATAATAATTAAAATTATAAAAACAAAATTCAACAGAAAAAAAAATTGTAAAGCTAAAAGTCGAAAGCGAAATTAAAGAATTTCTATTGAAAGTTAAAACACGTTTTATTAATTTTGATCGCTTTTGATTAGTACGAAGAAACAGATTGATTGAGAAAAAGAAGGTAAAAAAGATAAGTTTGACTCCATGAAACTGTGTTGGAAAAAGAAATCGGAATGCGTGACCCTTTTGAGAATAAGAGGCCTTAATGGTAGCTTTAGTGAGAGTCGTGTAACGGGCCTTAATTGCAGGCGATAACAGGGGAGTCAGGGTCTACCCCTTCAATGCTCCCATCTTTTATCACTGTCACTCATTCACATGCATCCCATGCCATGCCAATGCCCATGCCCGTTTCTTTCAACACCACCACTCACATGGAAACCTCACTGTCGGCAGACACTCGTTTCAGAGCAGACACCGTAACTCATAAAGATGGTTAAAATGTTACAACCCGTACATGTGCTTATGTTCTTATTGTAGAATGGATATTTTTACTTGTAAGTTTATGAGTAACAAACCAATGATAAAAATGTTTTCACTGCTATATGGTTTCTTGGTGGCATTAAACCGTACAACTACTTTTGTTGCCTCTCTTTCTTCTTCCTTCTTTCCAAGTCAAGAAGCAAGCTTCATGGACAAATAAGAAAAACCAGAGCAACCAAAAACAAAATTTTTATCTTTCCGGCATTACTGATATCATGAAACGGTATTTCACGTAATACATGTCTTCATTTAGCTGTAACTTTGTGAAAATGTATACTTATAATGGTCTTCGTCTGCAAAACCAATGCTGGGATCTCTCCCTCTCCTTATCGCCTCCCTCACCTTCTCTATTCTTTCGAGCATTCCTTTTACTGCTAAATCAAACGCGTCTTCGAAGAAATCTAACTTAGACCTGGGATCCGCATAAATGATATTTGGAATCACCTTTATAACCTCCTCCCTCATTGCTAAGACCTCACTCTCTGAAATTCCCAGCAACACCTCTTCCACACTGGTATTCCATTGTTTTACATCCTTCACTGGTATATATACAGAGTACCCTGTTCTGTTCCTGGGCAAATGCCACTTGTACTGTGAATAAGCAGTGCCCGGATGAAAGAAAACGGGAATACAACCGGCCAACATAGAATCAAAAATGGACCTTCTGGTGTACGAGTCACCGGGAGGCTGCAAACAGAACACAGAACTTCGAAACACCTTTATAACATTGACAGGGTCGTCACATCTCTCCACACCATAGCTGCAGTCAACGAATTTGCAGGCACTCGAAGCTCGACACTGGTCTATGATCTTACCCCTGATAGAACCTTCAAGCTCTGGCCTTGGAGCTCCGGTGAAAGTAAACAAATACGGCCGCTTTTGATGTCTGATTTTTCTCTGCCATTGCAGAACTTGAGTGTCATCCGAGGGATGGAAAGAAGTTGGGTAGGGTATTGCATGGTCGTTATTCCACGAACTAGCTTCGACTGCTAACATGGACATGTTCATGGATTCAGGAAGAAATCTGAACTTGCTACCCCAATAGGACTCCTCGTCGCGCTGTCTCCTGAAATCCCAAGCAATCCTCCCAGAAATAAGGAAATGGTCTCTGCCCCACATTTTCTTCCACTCGGGTCTGTTTGCAAGCCATTGAAGAAGATCTCGACCGGAGGAATCTCTGTCAGTGAGATCAGAGAGCCAAAGGAAACGGCTAACGTCAAGACCGGCATAAAAGGGGACAAAGATTGCAGAGGCGACGGAGGAATCGTTGGTCAAGCAGGCATATTTGCTCATCCTGTTATGAAAAATGACCTCCAGCAAGAATTGGTTGGTGGCATACCAAGTGTTGTTGGTTAAAACCCCTTGAGAGGTAAGAATCTGAGGACCCAAGCCCATGTTTTGCATATACGGGCACATGTTGGGTTTATCAGTGCCTCTGGTAAGGGTGTGGCAATTGTGAAGCAAGTCATCGTTGAAGCGAGAAGGGAGTTGGTGGATATAAACATAGCGGCCAAAGCAGGGATTCGTGGTGGTGGATGGGTTCAGGTGTTTGAATGTGAGTGCCTTATTGGGAGCACGAAATGATAGGAATAAAGAGCAGAAGAGAAAGGAGAAGAGAATTGCAAGGCAGAAGTGGTGGTTGTCGTAGCAACCTCTGAAGATCGGGGCTGATTTTTCCATCTGATCTTCGATTCAAGTATGATGTGCATGTAGCAGTGAACTTGGATTTCGAAGCTTAGCTTCTCATGCTCCTAATCTTCAGACACATGCCTACAAAACTAACTTCAGCTTTTTCAGTTGCCATTAAGACAACATCATCAGATTTAAAGACTTTACTTCGTATTGTACAATGAACACTGCCTCACGGAACACCAAACGTCCGTTACCTTGTCGGCGCCAATGCAATACCTAACTCTTGGCTCTAACAAAATCTAAATTGTCAGTAGGAAATATATTTAATTGCTCTGAAGTTTCACATTTTATTTTCACTTAATAAAAGAAAAGAGAGAGTATATAACGGATAAAATCGGTTCATACTTTTAAAAGAATAATAAAAATAAAATATTAAGAAATACGAAAACTATAAAGAAGCTTAATAAATATATAATACAGGATTTATAAACTTTACACCAAGACACGATATGATTAGGTAAATAACAATTTTATTAAGATCGATATTGCAATATAGCCTGTTAATTCAATAGGTTAGAAAAAATTGTCTTATTTAAAAAAGGAAAAAGAGTTGTGGAAAGAAAAATAAAAACTCTAGACACAGAAGTACTTACACACATGTGCGTGTCTATGTATCACATTTTTCAAGTATATAAATTATACCACGAATATATATATATATATATATGTGTATATATATATATGTTTGATATGAAAAATGGTATATGAGAACTTAGTGCTAGAAACAATCAAACTTGGTTTTCTTTTGATGAGTGAGTGTTTCATCCAGCATCTTTCCATTTTTTTTTCTGCACCCTCACATTTAAAAAATATTCTTTTTTAATGGATTTTAAAATTGATGAAGAAAAATGTGGGATAGTGTAGAAGAAACACTCTTGATGAGTACTATTCAAGTGGGTCAGTCCTTTTTAGTTTTTTTTTTAATATTTTGTTTCAGTCTAAATGGAATCTAATCAAGTTTCTTTAATACCTTGAAGAGCTAAAGTTCCATAAGAAATTTTATAAATAGGTAAATCTTACTATACAGTTTCGTTCTGTTTTTCCACTACTTACCTTGTATATATTACATAAGTTGTATCTGCTGAAAGAACTTTGTGCAAATACGAGAATATACCACACCTATTCTTATCTCGTTACTAATTACATATTTCAATTTCTAAAAAATAAAGTACCTGAATATCATTTCTAAACATCACACTGATACGAATATATATAAAAAAAAATCTGATTAATACAAAAGTTTTAAAAATCTCGAAGTAACGTCTTCTGTTTATTACAGTTAAAAAGAAAGAAACTCAAATATAAATTTATGTGTAAAAAAAGTATATTTAATTAGGGCTCATTCCAAAAATGGTCCGTTTCTATATAATAAAATAAATACCAATAATAATTGAGAGATTTAACTTACTTTTTCGGTCTTCAGGTTACTCAAAACTCTAATGATATTCACCTAAGTCAAAGAATACATGTTTTTGATTCGGTTCGTGATACTGAGATGTGAAAGATCTAAGTTTAGTTTGAATTGGTTGTCAAACTGAAAAATCTGAAAGAAAAAAAGTGATTGATTGATCCAAAACTAGGTAAGTTGGGAATCGGAAAGACAAGGGACGATTGGATTGCAGCGAAAGCAGGTCCCCTGTGCACCTGAGCACGATGCCTTTGCTTCACCTCCGTCTTCTTTCACTATGGAAATATGATCCAAAACGATGTCGTTGCAGCCTACGTACGGATCACAATTCAGTTCCACTGCACTGTCACTGCCGGTTGTTCCTTTCACGTTCCGGAAACTGACGTCACTTATTTTCACTGCACTTATCCCGTCAAGCAATCCCAAATAATTCTGGTTGATAATCACCGGCCGCATCACTCCCACAACTTTAATATCTTCAAATACGATCTTCCTCGCATAACCCCGTCCTCCCTAGTCAAACAAAAAACATCATCGTATTAATCGTTTATTAATTCTCGTTTAACTTCTCTTCTTATAACTGCTCACCCTCCATGTCTTCAATCTTACTCCGTTCGTACTTCCCAGGAAGGTGCAATTCCGCACGTGTATATTCTCAACTCTGGCATCATCTCCATTGCGTCCCAGACTCCCAATACTTTTTTTCATTCACCAAACACACCACAAATAATTCAAAACACTCTTAATATTATAGTGAGAGGAAATTAATTAATTTATTACTTCGAATTGGACTTACCTGATGCCGTGGCCAGGTCCACAGAAAATATCACTTATATTGACGAAGGAAGTACCCGAGTTTATGGCGATGCAGTCATCGCCTGTGATGAATATGTGTATTCATTAATAAATGGAAAGTGATGATGAACAGTGATATACGAATGTAGGTTGATTAGTTACCGGTTTGAATGATGGAAGAGTGTATGAAGATGTTGGATGATCCAGAGATATCTATCCCGTCGGTGTTTGGACTTTGCATCGGTGCAGTGATGCCAACATGGGAGATTTCTAACCCATTGCACGTGTCTATGCTTATATGATTTCTGGGGCTGTTCTTGTGATGCATCGATCTAAGTCTTACATCTTTACAGTTATGGAAATGTAGAGCCTGCACATTTTGTTAAACGTTATTAGTTTCAATATCATATAGAGTTGCATTGGTCATGAATGTCTTAGATTTGAATTTGAACGTACAGTGGGCCTTATGGAGACATCGGCGATGTTCCACCACGCAGCGCCTTGCCCATCGATCAGCCCTCCTCCCTCAATCACAAGACCAGATATGTCTGAAAATTCTATCCATTTGTTTTTTTCGTCCAAAAATTTCCAATCCCCATTGCTTTTAGGTGCTATGACAGTCCCCTCAAGCTGCATTCAAACAATATATAATCATATAAACGTACGTACGTGCAGAAATTACTACAAAAAACTGATTTTTCATTTACCCGAACTTCGATGGTTGCTGGATTGCAAGGACCCTTAAGCGACAGAGGTTGCAACATGAATGTTTTATTCCGGGGTATGACAAGTTTCGCCGTCTGCTGAGTTGCACCACACACGTCTTTCCATGCTTTCAAGAAAGCCTTTGAGAAATACATTGATTTATTATATACAGCATCAAACATATTTGTATGAGAAAAAAAAATAAAATATATGATCGAAAGTGGACAAAACATACTTTTGTATCATCAGTCTGGCCATTCCCTGTGGCACCGTAGCCAACAACGTCGAAAGTTGAACATTCTGTAGCACACAAGTTAGATGAAGCAATTACAAATACCAGAAGGACAACAAATAGAACCTTCATCTTTCGGATAGATATACAAAAAACAGAGTTGTTGGTGTTAAGTTAGCGATCCCAGGAAGATGTCTGTGAGGTGAAAATTGGACAGAGGATGCTAACTTTTATAAATAAATAAGGAAAAATGTAATTCTGATTGTAATCAGAAATCAGAAATAATAATCCCACTAATCACTAAACTAAATAATATCATCCCTCCAAAACCATATTTATCATCCTTCACCTTTCCAGATTATGGGCAATAATTGCGTTTGCATCTCAATTACTTTCCAAAACATGGTCTGATTCCAAGTTACCATAAAAAAACTCACCACATGCAATAACATTTTATTTGAAACAAAATTCGTCATTTATTTTTACCATATGTGTAATTTACTGAACTAATGCATGATATATGAATTTAGAAAATGTAGTACTAAATAGAATTATCAGTTGGGTATTGCAAACGATATAAATGGAAATTAATGCATGAAAACTAAATATCAACTTCACAGAAATAAAAAAAAAAGTCATTATTGTTCAACAGACAACCTAAAAGTAAAATACATTTTTATATAAATCTTCCATTTTTTTTTCCACTCTGTATCTTCTCAAGCAGATCCAAACATTATACATATAATATACTTTCAGCGTTGTTCATCAAATAAAACTAAATTTAATTTGTTGTTTTCTTTACTTTAACCAAAAAAATGTAAAAGTAAACATTTATATCCCGAATCTTCCATTTACAAATTGTATATATATCTTCTCAAATAAATAAAGCAATATTTTCATATATTCTAAATAACTTATTATCATATAAATTAGTCAACACATTTCATTCTCTTCCCTCTCTCTCTCTCTCCATCTAAATGATAATTTCATTTATACCATTTATAATTTGGTAATATTGTGATCCACCATTAGTACAATGTCTAGAAAAACATAATTGTGACAACAGAATTTTGTTATTATTTTATACTAGTCATATCATATAGCATCTGTATTAATATTTTTATTATCATTTATTTTTTTAACAAAAACAATTAGTTCACTTTGAATAATATTAACCAAATTTTATATTACTAAGTTAAATAATAATAAAAAGTCTAATTTTATATTCCAATTTTAATGATTGATGTATTTTTCATCTAATAGAACATGTTTCAATGCAATAATATACAATGCAATTAATATAAAAAGAGAAAGGCATATATAAATTTAAATATATTATATAAGATAAATTATTGAATTTTATTTTTATCCTTAATAATTCTTTTTAACCTTTTCGTTCTTTGAAATAAATTCTGGTGCTAAAAGATACTTTAAATAACGTCATTGATACGAACAGCACCACAAATTTATTTCACTTAAAAAAATCTTAAATTAAAATTGGGTATGTGTAAAATATACACGAATTGGTGGTAGATTCAAATAAGAAAATCACGACAATATGTATCAAACAACCTCAATAACACAAATTCATAAATCTGATCCATATTTAATTTTTTTAATGATATAAATCAAAATCCCACATTATTTTAATTGATTGATCATATATATTGTATATATTAATCAACATTATTTATTTTATTTATCTTCTTTATAACGAAACATATTTTTTTAATACAAATAATAAATAAACTTTTTCATTTAATTATATTTTATAATATAAAAATATATATTAAATTTTTAAATATAGTTTTTAGTTTTTTTTGTCATTAATGAATTTTGTATGTATAATTTGATTTTTGTGGTTTGTGAGCAGTGTTAAGTGAAGTATATTTCTTAAGTGACACGTTGGCCTGAATTTACACCTGATTTGTTGTTGTTTATTTGAGTGAATTTGGAGGTAAGTGAAAACGGATTTGAAAATAATTTTTTTTAATCTGTCACATCAATTAAATCCTACACTAATTCTCACAAATTGTGACTTCCAAATTCACTCTCATTTGTCTTTAAATTCTCTCAAATAAACAAGAAAA